GGGTATTGCTATCCGGTCAGGCGATGTTGAGCTCGAAATATTTAACGTATACATACCCCCTGTCACCAGCTGGCCGGCAGGATATCACCCTGAAATAGGTGCGCTAGTCAGAAGTGAAAACCGTATGGTAGTTGGTGACTTTAACGCGCACCACGATCTTTGGCACTCAAGCCTGTCAAATGATCGTAGGGGAATACACCTGGCTGAGCAGATAACCGATTCGACATGCTGCACAATGAACGACGACGCACCCACCAGGATTATGGGTAGCTGCTGCAGCTCGCCATATCTAACAATTGTCAGCGCTGGTCTGATAAACAGCGTATCATGGCGACCTATGCTGACTCAAGCATCAGACCATCTGCCCATAGTCATCTCGATTGATAAACCCGCCGACTTTGCTTCCGTGGATCACCGGACTTATGTCAACTTTTCCAAAGCTGACTGGAAAGGCTTCACGGATGTTACTGAGGGCGGCCTCACTGCACTACCCATACCAACCGACGTTCATGTAGGTGAACGTAAGTTCCGCAGGGTTGTCACCGCTGCTGCAGCTCGCTTCATCCCAGCAGGATGTATTAAGGATCCACGTCCGAATTTTCCTGCCGAAGCGGCTGTTCTAGCTGATGAGCGCGACAACCTTCGTCAGGCCGATCCCGGAAATCCCCGTATTAGGGATCTCAATTCGGAGATTCGGCAACTTGTGAACGTACATAAGCGGAAGAAATGGGAAGAGCATCTGAAGACCTGCATCTCCGCCTCTGGTGTGAGCAAGCTTTGGTCAACCGTGAGGTCGTTGTCCAACCCGACGAAGCGCGACGACAGAGTCGAGATAGACTTTGGTGACTACGCTTCGTCGGGCACGGAGAGATGCGCGAGCTATTTTAGCCGGCAGTTCATTCTGCATCCTCCGGTGGATAAAGCCAAACGTCGAGTGACCAGAAGGCTGCGCAAAATGCCAAAACCTAGTGCGCCTCTTGTTTTCACCAGCGGTGAGGTAAGGGTAGAAATCGGGAATGCGAAAGCCTCCAAAGCCATTGGACCCGACGGAATATGCATGTTGATGCTGAAAAATTTGGGTCCTGCGGGAGTAGCGTACCTAACGGGGGTCCTCAACCTGTCTATGGCCACTCTCGTCATTCCAGACATCTGGAAAATGGGGAGAGTGGTCACACTGCTTAAACCGGGGAAACCAGCCAACAAAGGAGTCTTATCGCCTGATAACTCTCCTTTCCCCGGTAGCGAAGACACTCGAGGCCCTGCTGCTCCCGTACTTCACGAACCACCTGACCCCAGCGAAGCATCAACATGGGTTCCGTAAAGTGCATAGTACAACAACAGCACTTAACGCCATAAACACTCAGATAACTCGTGGCTTAACCGAAACCGCACCTGTGAGAACTATTCTAGTAGCGTTGGACCTGTCCAAGGCGTTCGAGACTGTCAGTCATTCAACGCTACTAGAAGATATAGAGGACTCCTCACTCCCACAGGGACTCAAACGATGGTCGGCGAATTACCTGAGGGGTCGACACTCGTCAGTAATTTTCAGAGACAAAACTAGCAAGCCACGTAAAATTAAACAGGGGGTACCACAGGGTGGTGTCCTGTCCCCGCTACTGTTTAATTATTACATATCAAAGCTTCCTCAGCCACCAGAGGGTGTTAATATAGTCTCGAATGCTGGCGATTGTTCGATCATGGCGTCTGGGAATGGAATTGATGACTTGTGCTCGAAAGTAAACGGTTACCTCTCCGAACTTTCTCGCTTTTTCACTGCAAGGAGCCTTGCCCTATCCCCTGCGAAATCCTCGGCAACCCTTTTCACCACCTGGACGAAGGAGGTCAGACTGCCACTTGGTATTCACGTCGATGGCGTAACAATGCCGACGGTGAATAACCGGAAAATCCTCGGAGTTACCTTCGACAGTCTGATCTCCTTCTCGGCGCATACGACCGCAATTGTCAACAAAGTACAGAGCCGCAATAATGTCCTCAAGTCGCTGGCCGGCAGCACTTGGGGCAAAGATAAAGAAACGTTGTTGGTAACATACAAGGCAATTGGCCGGCTGGTTCTAAACTACGCAGCGCCCGTATGGTCGCCGGGGACAAGCAGGACGCAGCGGATGAAGCTACAGACCTGCCAAAACACGGGATTACGAACTGCGACAGGATGCCTCCTGATGACGCCTCAACACCACCTTCACGACGAGGCCCAGATGCTCCCAGTAAAGGAGCATAACATAATGCTCTGCAAGCAGTTCCTCGCTGGGAGCCACAAACGTGGCCATCCCAGCGGGCAACTGCTCGCGAAAGAGCCCTCGCTACGGCACGTCATGAGGCATCTTTACGAACTCCAGAGGTATATCAAACAACCTCTGGACCCGTCAACCTACCGACAGGCCCTGAACGGCATTCACAGGGAATCAGTCTCAAGTTATGTAGACTCCCCCCTGTGAATGCCGTTCTAGGCACACAACCACCGGACGTGGACGGGACAGAACTTTGTCGGACCCGGGGGACCCGCACTACAATAGCCCAACTTCGCTCTGGCTATTGCAGCAGGCTCGACAGCTACCTGAGCAGAATCAACGAGGATGTGCCCAACCAATGCCCGCCATGTGGAGAGTCGCCACATGACTCCCGGCACCTCTTCACATGGCCTGAGAACCCCACTCAGCTTACGCCCCTGTCCCTATGGACAGCCCCTGCGGAAGTAGCACACTTCCTGGGCCTCCCCCTAGCTGAAATTGACGACAACGTTGATGGATGAACCTCCCCAAACGGGGCTTAGTAGCCGCTACAACAACAACAACCTCCAAATATTTTTTGACTTAAAAAAGGGAGCCATTAAAATTTCGACAATGCGTTTTTTGGACCACCCTTATGTACATAGGTAACATGAAATACATACTACATACATATGTTTAATATTTTTATGTTTCAATATAGGCTGCTGGTGTTACTTCCACGGAAAAAGTAGCCACTGAGAAAGGTACCAAGGCGAAAAAACAACAGCCACCTCACAAATCTATCGAAAGTGAGTGTGACTTATGTCGTGCAAATTTGTATATTTCAATGATCAAAACTGAGGAAGGAAATGTATATTGTTTGCAACATGCATTGAAGAACTTAAACAACGGCAACATACAGGCGAAACAATGCAAACTGATGTACGCATATAATGTGGAAGATATTGAAAGTCTAATAAAAAACCTTAAAGATAAGATTCAACAGAAGCGGCATGCGGTTACGGGGAAGAAGTCAAAGTAGTATCGAGCACGGCGAAAACGAAATTTCTGTAAATAAATGCAACACGACGTATATAATTTTAACACATGCCTAGTATGTATGTAATTTTTTCATATTTAAACTTGAATATGATTTTTGTTCTAAAAGCTCGGAGATGAATGCAATTTTTAAACGGTAAAATGTAATTTTAAATGCTTGGAAAATCCTCTCACATTAACACTATACCCATACATTTGTATATGTGTGCTTTATTGCATAGCACTTGCTAGAATTAGGGCTAGGAGCTC